TGAGGAAAGAGGACAAAAAAGAAGAAGAGAGATTATAAGTGCCAAATTAGAAGGTTGTTGGCCACACACTGCTTATTATCATAAAGAGAATACCAAGCCTATTCTTACAATAATTGAACTCCTTCACAATTTTCTTTTATAATATTTAATATTTATTAAAAATATAAAAGTTCTGCCAACTCAACTTAAAACAAAGTTTTGTTTTTATTAAGTCAAAAGTGATTTTTTACTAAACATGTTTGAAAATTATTTGGTAAAAATCAAATAAATATATTTGCACCATAATAAAAACATAAACCAAGCCATAAAAAAGTTGTTATACCATCTACTTATAAAGCTAAATTACTCATTAACACATGCAGATAATTTTAGTAAAACTTGCTTATCAGATTTTAATAACAATACCTCTATATATATATATATATATATATTCCCAATTTATGAACTATAATACTTAATATCTGGATCTACGTTTCTTTTATTTTAGGAGTAACTAAGTCATTTTAATATGTAAAAAAAAATTAAGGTGTCCCTGTACAATTTGAAATTAGCGATTCATGATGAAAAGATTGAATTGCCCCACTGCCTAGTTAAGTGGGTTTATGATTGAAGAGCAATTCTATCATCATGCTATTATACTATTATAATATCATATGTTCAGGCACACAATAATTTCACGGGGAGTTTTAGTTTTTCTACAAGAAATTTTTCGAAGATTAGGAGTGCATATATGAACAAGGTGACTGTGAGTTATCTCTAATTCAATGGCTATTGTATTAATTCACGATTCAACTCCTCACTTATCTCTAATCCAATGACTATTGTATTAATTCACGATTCAACTCCTCCTCCTTTTCGTCTTTTGAAACACTTTCAACTCTTGTTAAATTGTATCTAAATTTTTAATAGAGTGTTATCAAGGATTTATATATTCTGCAGTTAATTTACTTGTATTTCCATATATTTGTTAATATGTGTTTATTAAAAATTAAAAATTTTATTAACTTATTCACTGCCATCAAAGTCATAATTATTATACCTTTTGAATTTTTGCAATATTAATCAAAATATTTATACGGAAGTGTTTATTGACATTAAAGTCATGAACATTATAAAAAAAATAAAAAAATAAAAAGAAAGAATAAATTATTAATAGCTTTAAACAAAATCAATAATACAATTTATTTCAACTAGAATGTTTAAAAAATAATAATATTTTTTTTGTGTAAAAAAACTCATATCATAAAATTTATGTTGACCAGTTATAGTTTCTAATATCAGTAATAATAGCCAATAACTTCTTGAGCAATATATATATTTTTTTAAAAAGATACTAAATATCTATTTTTTTATGAAAATTTTTAAATAATTACTGTGATGTCCGGGTATGACAAGCTTAAGAAATGAAAAAAAAAACAAAATAAAGTCGAACAAACTTTCTAAACTTATGTTAATCTCTAAAATTTATAACATGTAAATTCATAGACCCATGTCTAATTAAGAAGATCAATTCCTAATCAATTTAATATTGAAAAATAAAAATAAAAATTAATTTAAATATTATCTTAAATAAAATAAATAAAAACTAAATTTAAAAGGTAAGAAAATTAAAGTGAAATATTTTTTTTTAATTTTATAAACTATTCCAAATAAAATAAATAATAATAAAAAATATCAAATTAAATGATAACTTTGAAATTTTAAAACGGTAAGCATTAAAATTGATGAGGAGAGAAAAAGACAAAAAAAAAGTTTGTTGGCGCAGGTTATTTTGATACGTACAAAAAATAAAATGTTTTTGATATCCGTGTATGATTTGAAAATGACAATTCATGATCGAAAAATTGAATGGCCCCACTGCCTAGGCAAGGGGTTTTATGATTGGAAAGCCATTCTATTATTATGCTATTATACTATTATATGTTTAGGTATACAATAATTTCACGTGGAGTTTTAGGTTTTCTACAAGAAATTATTCGAAAATTAGGAGAGCATGTATGAATAAGGTGATTGTGAGTTATCTCTAATCCAACGGCTATTGTATTAATTCACGATTGAGCTCCTCCTCCTCCTCCTCTCCGTCTTTTGAAAAACATTCAACTCTTGTTAAATTGTATCTAAATTTTTAATAGAGTGTTATCAAGGATTTATATATTCTGCATTTAATTTACTTGTATTTCCATAGCTGGTATCACTTGTTCTTGATCGAAGTGTCCTTTATTCAATCTTAATTAATTAGTCGGTGCATGTCAATTTCACAGTCACAATATGACAACATCGCACTGATGGTGGTTTTTGTTTGGTTTCACGTCATTCGTGATCGTTGTCTCATGCCTTGTTACGGGAATCTAGAGTTATTTCTCTGTTTTTTTTTTTAATAAAAAAATATTTTAATAATATTTTTCCTAATAAAAATATTTTTTTAAAACTATATGAGATTAATTAGATGTAATTAACAATTATATAGCAACTGCACCAAAATATAACATTATTTCTTCTTCATTCTCGTGCAGCTCCATAATACCTTTATAACATCAATAAAAAACAACTTCAAAAGAATACCTTTATAACATTAATAAAAAACAATTTAAAAAAACAATAGTAAAAGAAATAGCAACAATAACACAACACCTTCATCCTCCTTAACAACCAATTTTAATTAACTCCTATCTAGAATTGTAATGACAATTACTCCAATAACTATTATTCATAATAGTAATTAATAATATATGAAAATTATAATTGTGGCAGGTCAAAATTTTTTTACAAGAAATCAATCATTATCTTAAAAAAATCATAGACTATTTCTCGTACATGAAAACTATAACTATAACAAATTAAAAATAAATCTTTTTATATAAATAAGGAATCATGTAATCATAAAAAAAAACAAAGTTATAGAAAAACAATAATTACTACTCTCTCTATATAAATAACATCTTATACAAGTTAAAAAGTGTGCTCATGTCTGTATTTTATTGTAATAACAGTAAATCTATCTTCTTCATCTATTGTTTATTTTTCATTTTTCTCTAAAACAACTTGAATAATTAGTAAAAAATTAGTTTGACTCAAAATAAATATTATAAATAATTTTTTTTCATAAATATTAGAATGATAACATATTGGATCGATTCAAGTTAACCTGCTAATCCATAATAAATCTAATATTGAAGGATATAATTGAAATTAAAATTGAAAAATTCATTAAAAAACACAAAAAAAAAAACAACTCAAGCCAACTTAGGATAACTTGCTAAACTCGTAATCCAAGTCATGAGATAAATATAATCTTATAAAAAAATAAATTAAAACAAATAATAAAATTTAATTCTCAATCAATCAATTATTGAAGAATAAATTTAAGAAAACAAAATCAATTAGCAAAAAGAAAAAAAACTCAAATTAACCCGTTAAACTCATAATACTGTTAGTAGAAATGATATAACCTTATGAAACTTAATCTTTAATAAATTTAATGTTAAAAAATTAATAATTAAAATAAAAATATTATTCTAATAAATAGTATTCTACGAGGGAGAATAATAAAACTCCTTTCTTCTTTAACTTTTTCTTGTTAGTTAATTACAAAGGTATACCTCCTATTTAAAATTTTTTTCACTCGCCTGAATATTAATTTATGAGTTCATTTAATATGATTTTTAAATTATAATTTGCAACTTTTAATAGTAATTCAAAGCTTGTTTTTCATAGATAATTTATAATAATATTTTTTTTTAAGTTAAAAGTTAAAAATATCAACTTTTAATAAAAGCTAAATTTTTTGGACATAATTTTCTAAAATGTTTTGTTCTTATTTAAGTCAAAAGTGATCTTTACTAAACATGTCGGAAAATTATTTGGTAAAACCAAATAACTATATTTGCAGCATAAAAAAACATAAACCAAGACATAAAACAAAGTTGTTTTCAAGTATTATATGTTGATTAGAATGTCAAAGAAAGTTGTTGTGGAGGACTCAAAGTTACATTTGAGTTTATAATGTCGAGTAGAGTGTTTTTATATCTTCTATTTAAAATGAAAATAAAGTAAAAAACTAATTTTGATTGTACTCGGACAATTAATGTTTAAAATTTAAGACGTGTTGATTTTTTTTTTTTTAATTGAGCTTGCTTCCAAACCTAGTGCTCAGTTTCAAGTCTAGATATTTAATGTTTATTTTAATTTACTCATCTTCAAATATGTTTTTATCACATACATACACATATCAATAATTTAATTTTTAAAAATATAATTATGTTAATCTACTCACCTTAAAATTATTAGCTTGTATTCAACTATGTTAGATTTTATTTTTATAGTGGTGCAAATATTTTATTTGATCTGCAATTGATTTACTTCCTTATTTATTATTAAAATTATTTAAAATATTTAATGATTAAGTAAATGATAATTTAATTATATTGTCTTTCTAGCAATGAATTGTTTTTATTTTATATGATGATGAAAAATTCTTTCTTAATATACTCTTGATGAGTAGAGAAATTACTATTTGGAGTTAGTTAAAAAATTAATGCTTATTATAAATTAAAATTAAAATAATAAGTGTTTCAAACATTACAAACTTGATGATAATACATATTGTTTTACACATCAGTTTATATTATTTTGTTATGTTTTATTCCTCATAAATTAAATAGAATCTATAAATATTCACATTATTTTACACATCATTGTTAAACATAATTTCATCATTATTTCTTGTTTTGTCTCATTTACTCATCTCAATTTACTCATTTTTTTTATTTAAGATAAATTACTACACACTAAGTGTGTTTGATAAAACATTGTGTATACTGTTTTTGTAGAATGTTTTTAATTATAAATATATCAAAATATTTTTTTACTTTTAATATTAGCATATACAATTATAAAAAAAATAAATAAAAAAACCAATTTGGTAAAAAAATATTTTGAAAATTACATATTAGAAAGCAAGTAAAATAAGGTACTGCGTCCTTGGCTCTTCTGCTGGGAGTACACTGCACAAGTCAAGAAATATCTTTATCTAATCAAATTTTGCCGAGACTGAGGCTTCATTTTTCGCTTTATATACAGTGCATTTTATAATTTCAATTGCTAGCCATTGCTGAAATAGAAGATAAGTGATTTTTTGATACTCAAGAAACTGAAGAGACTGAAGCAGTGTCATGTGGAGGCTTAAGATTGCAGAGGGTGGCAATGATCCACGAAGAGACTGAAGCAGTGTCATGTGGAGGATTAAGATTGCAGAGGGTGGCAATGATCCACACATATACAGCACAAATAACTTTTTGGGGAGGCAAATATGGGAGTTTGATCCTGATGCTGGCACCCTTGAAGAGCGAGCTGAGGTTGAAGAGGCTCGCCAAAATTTCTGGAGAAACCGCAACGAGGTCAAGCCCAGCTCCGATCTCCTTTGGAAATTCCAGGTATATATACACACACACAAATTCACAGAATATGTTTCTTATATCACACACACACACACACAAATTCACAGAATATGTTTCTTATATATATACACTAAAATTTCTCATCAGATTATTTGAACGAGATTATTTGAACACTCGTTCAAATAATCTGATGAGAAATTTTGATATATATGTATATGTTTCTCAAAATTTCTCATCAGATTATTTGAACACTTGTTCAAATAATCTGATAAGAAATTTTGATATATATGTATATGTTTCTATGTTTGGCTATTTCAAGAAATAGGACACATGGAGAGTGTTCAAATACTCTGATGATAAATTTTGGTGCATAATTTATTACCTTTTCAGTCACTTACTTTTATTTAATAAAACGCAGTTTCTAAGGGAGAAAAAATTCAAGCAAAGAATTCCTCGAGTCAGGATTGAGGATGGTGAAGACATTTCCTATGAAAAAGCAACAAGTGCTTTGAGGAGGAGTGTTCATTTGTTTTCAGCCTTGCAGGCTAGCGATGGCCATTGGTGTGCTGAAAATTCTGGCCCAATGTTCTATTTCCCTCCCCTGGTTATTGCTCTCAATCCCTGCCATCATTTTACCTAGCAAAAAATATTAGCCAGAAGTTTCATCACCACCTAGAATTGGCAACATAGCATTTTTCTTGTGATCATTTGGCTACAAATGTAGCCAGAACTGTGTTTTTTCCCGTAAAGAAATCGAAGCATGTTACACAAACGAAACCATATTAGGCACTGAGATGGGATGATTGCGACTCGCGTGCCATCCATAAGTAACTAATAATATTTAAACAATACTGAGCGCATACCTAATAAATTGATGTCAACAAAAAAAAATAATAAAAAAAATAATAGTATACTAAATTATGAAAGAAATTGGGAGACCATGGCAAAGACCTTTTGACTTTTGGGCTAGTACTTCTGGATTTTTGTAACATTTTTTTTTTTAAATCTTCAAACTTTCGTGTAACTAGTATGATTTTACTATAACTCTGCGAAGTTATTGTAATTTACCCTTGCTGAATTTAAGACAGGCTTTCAAGCGCATGTAATCCCAGTCTTGAAATCCTTCTGACAGGTTCAAATGCTTGATTGTATAGATTTCTTGCCTTGATTTAAATTGATTGAAAGAGTTGAAATCTGAAAAGATTTTATTTGAATTTTTTCATTTCATATGATTCATAGCTTGATCTGAAGAACTGGTGATTAGAACGTAAAAAAAAAAACAAAATCTTGTACTCTTCAGGCCATGTTGCTGTTTAACTCTGCTTTCACGAGTAGCATCAGAATGAATTTGGAAGCGTGTTTACTCAGTTGTCACAAATTGGCAAACTATAATTCAGATATTTTGTGCGTTCAGTTTCTAACGGCAACCTTTTTCCCCCCTCAATGCAGGTTTTTTCTCTGTATATTACAGGACATCTTAATGCTATCTTCTCTGCAGAGCATAAAAAAGAAATCCTACGTTACATATACTGTCATCAGGTAGAGTATATTTGTTAATTACAAGGATGACAAAAGGAATAGCTTTATCAAACTAATTTTGATTTTTTTTTCTCTTTCTCGTCTTGGCTTTAAGGATTTACCAGTATCAGAGTGCTAATGTGCTGCATTTTATCTTGTAGAATGAAGATGGTGGGTGGGGATTACACATAGAGGGTCACAGCACCATGTTCTGTACAGTCCTGAACTACATCTGTATGCGCATGCTTGGAGAAGGACGTGATGGTGGCAAAGACAAAGCATGTGAAAGAGCAAGGAAGTGGATTCTTGATCATGGTAGTGCAATTGCCATAAGCTCTTGGGGAAAGACTTGGCTTGCGGTACAACATATGATACAACACAATTCAATTAAATTTCATACTGTTAAACTAGTTATTGGTTGCTGGTTGGTATCATTAGTAGAATGTTTCCTGTCTAATAAAAGAACGAAAGAAATCTTTATCTACATGATTCTTTTCATGTTGCTTCTATATGATAATTTTGTTTCTAATTGTTTGATTTTCCCGTGTTGTAGATACTTGGTGTGTATGAGTGGGCTGGATGCAATCCAATGCCCCCAGAATTTTGGTTCTTGCCATCTACATCTCCCATTCATCCAGGTTTGCATTTTGTTTTATGAAGTTATTGAAGCATGAAACTTATATATAAACATTATGAAATCCTTCAATAATTTTAGCATATGATTGATGGAAATTGCAAATACTCGAGCTGCCAACTTCATAGTTTCTAGAATTCTGTCCTTAACTTGAATTTAGTTGCTTGTGTAAAGCCTGCTTTTAGCTCTGCCATTCCAATCATGCATTTCATAAATGCAGGAAATTTGCTGGACTACTGTCGGCTCACTTACTTGCCGATGGCGTACTTGTATGGGAAGAGGTTTGTTGGTCCAATCACACCTCTCATCTTACAAATTAGGGAAGAAATCTACAATGAACCTTATGAGAAACTCAATTGGAGGAGAGTCCGCCATTTATGTGCAAAGGTCAGTTGACTTTTAGCAGCTGTTCTTCAGAAAATGATCTGAAAACATTTCATTTTCGTCAAAATCTGTTTTGTTTCTTCAGGAGGATAACTATTATCCACATACTTCGATTCAAATATTGTTTTGGGATGCTATTTATACTTTTGGCGAGCCCCTTCTTACTCGGTGGCCCTTCAACAAATTGAGAGAGAAGGCTCTCAACATAACAATGGATCACATCCATTATGAAGATGAGAGCAGTAGATACATTACCATAGGATGTATCGAAAAGGTAACACACATGCAGAACAATAGCAAAAAAAGAAAACCAGTACAGTAAAATATTTGCCTATTACACATGTTCTTTAATTTTTGGACATTTGTACCACTGAACTTGAACAGCCATTAGATATGCTGGCTTGCTGGGTTGAAGATCCCAATGGGGATTATTTTAGGAGGCATCTTGCTCGGATCAAGGATTATGTGTGGCTTGGAGAAGATGGAATAAAGATGCAGGTCGGTAAACTTCTATCATAAAAATGTTACCTAAACGGTTCACGTCGTCTTTCCATTCACTGGTTTATGTTAACAACAAAAACAAGAAGAATTCTCATAAACTCGAGTTTATGCTTATTTAGTCATAGACTTTAGATTTGCAAACCAGAAGTAAGAGATGCCGATGGAGTATGATTTTTTCCTTTTCATATTCATTTTAGAGTTTTGGTAGTCAAGTGTGGGATACCAGTCTTGCCCTTCAAGCTTTGATTGCCAGCAACCTCTCAGATGAAACAGGACCTGCACTTAAGGAGGGTCATAGCTTCATAAAGAACTCTCAGGTTTCCAAATTTCATATCCTGAAATTGTTTCTTCCTCTCAAGCGTGTTTCTTGTAGTTAGTTATGTTTTGGCATTCTGCTTTTCTCATCCCACATCAAATCTTGAAGGTCACTGAGAATCCTCCCGGAGACTTCAGAAGGATGTTTCGCCATATCTCTAAAGGATCGTGGACTTTCTCTGACAAAGATCATGGCTGGCAAGTGTCTGATTGCACTGCAGAAAGCATGAAGGTCTGTTCTAGTTTTCTGCTGTAAGCAATACTATAACAAGTTGAGCTTTTTCCTTGAACATTTACCATCGCAACATACTTTGTGATTTGCATGTTCTGCAGTGTTGCCTCCTTTTTTCAACAATGCCTCCGGAAATTGTAGGTGAAAAAATGGAACCTCAGAAGCTTTTCGATTCTGTTAATATTTTACTTTCTCTTCAGGTGAGGATTAGTTGCATTCAAATGGTGACCTTTGTGTACCTAAAACTCATCAACATTCCTTGGTATTTCCTTGGATTTGCTCCTTTCTAGAACACGGTATTCACGAAGTAACAATCAGCTCGATTTTATGCAGAGTAAAAATGGTGGGGTATCTGCTTGGGAGCCGGCAGGGTCTGGATTATGGTTGGAGGTAAGTTCTTCAAGTCATCGAACTAAACTCGAAATGTTAAGCTTAAATTCTGTATGTTTTCCTTCAAGACTTGACTTGGAATATGGTATTTCAACTGTGACGTCTCTGCTGTTCAATTAGTGGCTCAATCCTGTGGAGTTCCTAGAGGATCTTGTAGTTGAGCACGAGTAAGATTCTTGAACCATTTTACTTCAAATAGTTAAGCAAGATCACTTATTGAGCACCTCCATTAGGAATGTCGAAAAACTTGTTGAAGACTAATAAAACAGCGATCCAGGTATGTTGAATGCACATCATCAACAATACAGGCATTAGTCCTATTTAAGAAGTTATACCCTGGCCACAGGACAAAAGAGATCCAAAATTCCATCATAAATGGTGTCAAGTTCATTGAAGAGTTGCAAAAGCCTGATGGCTCATGGTATGATCCATTTAAAACAGTTGCTACATTATTTTAAAGGTTGATGTACAGTTTGCAGAAAATTGTCAGGGAAATGACTAAATATAGCAAGAATTACTACAGGTATGGAAATTGGGGAATATGCTTTATCTATGGTACATGTTTTGCTCTGGGAGGGCTAGCAGCTGCTGGAAAGACTTACTCCAATTGCCTGGCTGTTCGAAAAGGAGTTGATTTTCTACTTGGATCACAGAGAGATGATGGTGGATGGGGCGAGAGTTACCTTTCATGCCCTAAGAAGGTAATACCATGTTAAAGATTTGTAAAGAAATCATTTATGCAATAACATTTTGTGTGCGTGGACCTTCTCATTCCATCTCCCATGGTATCAATGGGATATCCTCCTTCAACTTTCTAAAGCTAAGAAAGTATACTGGTGCATGTTGACGCAGGAATATGTACCTCTTAACCACTCAAACCTGGTGCAAACTGCAATGGCTATGATGGGTTTAATTCACGGTGGTCAGGTCAGATTAATTAATTTATAATTTAAAGATTAATAGTCTATCTCTTCCTATATATAATGTAATGCACTTCTGCTCCTTTTTCCCCATCAAAATCCATGATTTCAAGCTCCTTTTCCAATAGGCGGACAGAGACCCTGCACCCCTTCATCGTGCTGCCAAGTTATTGATTAATTCTCAAACAGAACTTGGTGATTTTCCCCAGCAGGTAATTGACTTATTGCTCTGCACACAAAGAAAAGAAATCATAAGAAAAAGAGAGAGAGAGAGAGAGAGAGAGAAGAACAAGAGAAGCTGCTCGCCGTTTAAGAAAATCCTTGAAATAATCACTCATAAAAGAAGATTTATGATGAGATTTTCGGGGAATAAGAGACAAAGAATTGTTGTTTGTCAATTATCATTCTTTTTAGCTCGTTATATCCTACGTTTACCACCGATTGAATAATAATACTGCTTCTTCGTGACAGGAAATCGGGGGAGTTTTTATGAGGAATTGCATGTTACATTATTCTGCGTATAGGAGTATCTTCCCCATTTGGGCTCTAGCAGAGTATCGCCGGCATGTTGCCTCGCCAACCAAAAATATTTGAACCAAGATAGGGAAAAATTTGAAAATAGTTGGTGGGAATAAAACTGCAAAATAAGTGAATAAATAGATCCTCAAAAAAAAAAATCAAGCAAGAAGGATCATACATTCTTCAGGGGATGTTTGTAATTTTTATTTTCTATTTTCATGTATTTGTTTTTTATAAAATATTTACATGACGATTAGTTAAAATAAAATATTTTATAGCTAATATTTAAACTTAATTTATTTTCTTTAGATAGTGTATACATATTAATATATTCAAAATATCATCAAAATATTCCACCCCAATTATTATCATCTTTCTATTATTACCTCGTCACCATAATTTACACCACCACCCTTATCATTCACATCATCCCATTACTCCACCGTCGCCTCAGCTCTCAACTCATCATCACAATATATATTAGTAGCTCTACCGCCACTATATTTTTTATATATGTATTAAACATTGTAAATTTTATACAAACAAACGAGTCTTTGAAAATATAATCTCTTACTTATTACTAACATTGAATGAACAAAAATATTTTCGTTGTGATAATCATATTAATCCAAATAAAAAGGTTTCTTTAGTTTTTTATATTCTCAACTTAAATCAAATACAACTTTTGTTAAAAAATTAAATAAAGAGACTTTTTTCTCCGTCTTTCAATTATGCATTAATAAAGAATAGAAAATCAAGAAGACCCAACTAAAATAGTTTATTGGAGAAGCCAAAGCCCAAAGGCGAAAATCACCCTATGCCCCTATTCTATCAATTTTTTACAACGAACATCTAGGAGAAACCCATGCTTGGCTTGTGGATAAAAAAAATATATTTAAAATTGTGATTAGGGTTATTTTTTAAAATATTTTTATATTAAAATAAGTTAAAATAATATTTTTTTAGTGCTCATCGTATTTAAGTAAATGAGAACAAGATAAATAACAGTAATAGAAATTTCCACATTACAGAGATTTTCATAACGGTACAGTATCACAAAAGATATTGCTATCAGATTCAGGTGTAAAAGGCCTATACTTGAGAGAGCTTGTTCATGAGTTAATATATGGAAACCTCTCCTAACGCAATCTCCACTATGAACGTGAGAGAAAGTAAGGAATGTAATTTAACAACGACATCATTTCCTGGAATTCTATTCTAGCACTAATTTATAAGTTCCCACAAAAAATGAAGCAGTGTGTCTAGGTTTCTGGTGAGAAGAAGGCAAAGTCCAAGAAAACCAAAGGAGTAGATAGACCAGTGATCCTCTAGTTGGTTATATGCTAATGAAGTTTTATGATCGGTCCAAGAAGTTCAATAATAGTATTAACACAAAAAAAGGTTTTGTATTATTAAGAAGATTTAATAAGAAAAGAGTTTTCCTATGCGTTTTTATTGTAATAGAGTTTAGTTTCAAGAAAACCATCCCAGGACACCAAATGGAACTAGAATTCACATTGTTGTTCTTCGTGCGTGGGAGATCGGGAAGATATTAACAATCTCTTGTTTTTTATATATATTTAAGGAGATTTTCTCTACCATATTTGTTTGCTAGAAAGTCCGTATTATGTCCATTATATATGTAACATGTGACATCGCCATGAATAAAATGGTAAAAAGGGTAAAATTAAAAGTAGGGCCGCCGCCTAATTTTACAACAACTACTCTTATTAATTTTATTTGAAATTCTAAATAACAGGTTGATTATATAATAAAAAAAATATAATTATTTTATTCATTGTATCTAAGACAAAGTAAATTATTGTTTGTTTTGAAATTATATGTATTTATTGTGCTAACCCATTTTAACAAAAAATAGGTATTGGACTTGACATAAACATGTGTCTTTCAATTAAAAAATCTGTTAATCAACCATTAATGATACGAGCCGAGAATGAGTCATTTAATTTTGATTTGAACTCTCAATTTACATGACAGGCAATATACTACAATGAAAAAAAAACATAATAATCACCTAGAAACACGAATATATATTCACCAATTTTAGTATCTCATAATCAACATTTAAAAGTAGAAGTCAATAACGAATAGTCTAATTCTAGGTTGAGTTCTCAAATAAAAAACAAAAAACAATTGATATATTATTATTAAACATAATTCTCAACACAACTCCATAAATATATCCACACCTTAAAATAAAATATTTGCTCACATATTACAAATAATTCAATACAACTCAATTAATATAAAATATAATCTAACAAAAAAAATAATAATTCACACCTCACAAATTATCCAAAACAAAACAAATAACAACTTTCTAGGGTTTGTTAGATGTGGCAAAGATAATTTTAGGGATAAAAAAGAAGATTGAGAGTTAGACATCGCTTTCTTATGCTTTATTGAGGGTGAAAAATAATATTTTAAGTTTCAAGAAAAGATATGCCCCCTAATATTCAAATGATATATTTTAGAATTCAACTAATTTTTTTTTAAATATTAAATTTTACTTTCACATAAATATCTCCTGATTTCAAAACAATAATTGGATATAAAACTAAATAGTATAATTTAAAAGATGTGATGTAATAAAAAAATATGAAAAATAAATTCAAGACAAGGTTTTAATAACCTTATTCATAAAGTTCAAAAACAAAAATGGATTGACAACATAACTTTTCATATCAACTCCATTCATCAAACATTTATCATTTTGTAACATTTATTAGATGTCTCTTTTACCATCCTTGCTATGTTGACGATTAACTACTAATTAAGTACATACTATTATCCTTTAAAATTTCAACATGACCCTAGTTCACCAACTTTTGGACTTGATATATAAAAATTTTATAGTTTTCAATTGGTCTATAATTCTATCATGGTATTCATATTTAATACTTGGTTCATGCCACCTTAAATATTGTGTTTGTATTAAATTTGTTGAGACTAGGATAATGTGTCTCATATTAAAAAGGTGTTAATAAACAATGTTGATTGGAAAAGTTATATCAATCATGGACAACAATGCTTAAGAAGTTGGCATTATTTGAGATGACTAGTTGGGATGTTGATGGGACAAGTTAGTGTTTGTGAAGATTTTTTTGCTTGAGGAACATTCTTTAACATATTATTTGGCTTTATACCAACTTTTACCATTGATTTTTTATTTTATTTTTCCTACTTTTAAGCTATGCTCAATTCTTTACATTACAATTACCACATCCACAAAATAGATCAAGGAATTAACAATTAAGTATTAAAAGTATAGAGTTAACAATTGAGTATTAAAAGTATAGAGATTTGAATGTGTTAATAAAATATATGGGTTCTTTCTCCAATAAAGAAGGTTGAATTTGTGTAGCAATTTTGCTGTCACGATCCGAATCCCGGATCCATAACCGGCAACGCAGGAGCAGTGTCGAAAAGACACCCCACCTACGCTAAGCCTTAAAATAGACACATCAAAGGAACAAGTTATTCAAAAATACGCAGCATTTCATAATCTTCAAAAATATTATATTACTCAAAACTGATGAAATCAAAAGATAGTCAAAACTCTTCATCAGTAATTAAAACAAAAATAATAATTCATAAACTCATTATATTGTCAAAATCCAAACTTAATTAAAACAGAGTAATAGT